CAGCAGAGGCAACCCAAAAACATGGAAATTGAAATTATCTAAAAATCCAAGGTGGCAATAATAACTCAAAATTCCAAGAAAATTGAGAGGTTTTTTACTCTCAAACTGTGCCTCTACTTTTTTGTGACAAACTAATCCTCTGAGCAGCACATATTCAAATAAAACCAACCCTGCAGAATTCTTCAAACGAAATTCTTCCATCATTGTCGCCATCGGCTTCCTCGATAGTTCTGTCAGCTATTTTGTCAAGCTGAAACAAGATCTTTTTGCTCAAGCAAGTACTGATTAATGATAGACATTCATAGAAAATTCATCCTAACCTGTTCTGCTGTGATATTCGCTCCAACCATACTGTTCAGGATAACTTTAAACTCCTCTCGAGTTATATAGCCATTCTTGTTTAAGTCATACATTTGAAAAGCGACTGAAATGGTAGGTCTTGAAAAAAGGGGTAAAAAACAGCTACTAGAACTTCTACCGCACTGGACTAAACTATTATATCTAATAGATAACGAAAATTAATAGACTTAAACAATCCTAGAAATTCAGAGCAGGAAATGTGGTCACATCCTTACTATCAGACAATGGCGAAAAGTCTGGAGCACGATCTAGTTAGTCACTGTGTAAGTGACGCGCAAAGATGCAATGGATAGAAAATGGATAAGTGAACCAAGAACGTACATTTCAGCTTCTCTGTCCTTCCGTTCAGTGCATTTTTCTTAGAACGGTTGATCGGCTGGAAATGAGCCAAAATTCGTACAAACTGACGGAAATTCAACTGCTGCTCGTTTTCGCCACTGAAACAGCCAAATGAAGTTAAAAGTTTATGAGTTCACTGTAAACAAAAACCTTAAGGATTCACAATTTGCACTATCATGCGCAATTCATGCATGAATCACGACTGTCCTTGAACTTGATGTCGCTGAAAGATGACAGGCTACAAAAAGCTCGTCGTTAAACTACCACCAACATTTCGCGTTGATCGAAACCTTGATATAGTGTTCGTTTCTGTACCATCTAGGACAACCCCTTGCCGTCCTCCCGTTCTTCCTATCGTTATGAAGACAGAGTAAGGAGCTTGAGAACTTGTAAACGATCGCAGATTAAGGACTTTTCGGTCTGTCAAGAAATCTAAGAGGATCGGATAGGTCAGCCACGTCATGCGACTTCCTAAATCCAGGGCGGACACTGACTGGATCTTTAGAGGCGACAAGCCCACATCGGACGACACAGATGGAAGATCTACGACAGCTACATGCAGATGGAAATGAACGCTTTCACGCGTTTTGGGCAAAATTGGTCATCTTAGTTAACTCGTCAAAACCGTAACGAACACAAAAATGCTGGTAACCATTCATCTGAATCGGCGAGCAACGACAGAACGGATGATAGCGGTGACACTAAGAAGACGATGCTATTTTCGTGGAAGACAATGGATTGACTCTCTACACTACCCCACATTTAAAACATCGTGAGACGTAAGTAGGACCCACTTCAGACATGAAGACTTACTGACTTCAACATGAAGACTTACTCCTGACTTCAACATGAAGACTTACTCCTGACTTCATACAAACTGAATGTTGAACGATATTTAGCTTTTTTAGCATATAATATATAATATAAAAAGCAACTCACGCCAGAGTGAAAAATGCGTCCACGATGCGATCTCCAAGAGGATTTACAGCTAATTCAGGCACGTTGAGGAAATCGTCACGAGAGAGAAATCCTTTGGCCTGAAAAGAGATCATATAAATATTACAACATTATTTTTCTAGTGTCACGGCTATAAATTCTGAATCCTAGCAGTTAATGTCTCAGATCGTGCAAGCATGGGATGGGTCGTCATAATTCTCTGCAATTCTGGCTTCCGCTGATCGAAAGCAAGTAGGCCTCGCGTAGGGGGTGACCAGCGTTGCTTAACCGCTCGCCAGAGCTATGGCTAACGGTCCTATAAGTATTATCGATTAGAACAAGCTAGAACGCGGAACATGACCTAGTAAGCTGCAATAAATATTTACAAAACCTATTCTTATCAAGTGACAGGAAAACGACAGTGGTAGAGCCGAACGAATTTGGCTTTCTGTGTGACCGTGAGAAAAAACAACAATAAACTTTTTTTCCCAGGGGGGGGAAAAAAAAAGCGAAAAAATTGCACACGATAATATTGCAAATTTATTCATAATAACAAGAGGGAATCTACTCAACTATGTGTCACAAGCACAGAGGTCCTGGGAAAAGCTTTTGCATTTGCTTTTCACAGGGTTTCACCATAGGAATTACCTCATATATGTCTATTGAAGCAACATTACCAAGTTATCCTCACGAGGTTGATAAACCCAATCTATCAGAAGTAATTGAAACAGTACCAAGATAAAGTATCCAGGCACCACCAAGGACAACAGTACTCACAGAGAGGACTGATCAAACTGCTTCATACTACCATCAACTTCAATCGGGTCACTTCAGTCGCTGAGGCAGTCGGGTAGCTTTGTTAGTACATTGTGGATGGCGTGCTATGTGCAGCACGCAACCACAAGGAAATGCATTTTTTCTTTGTTTCTTTTCCCCATTTTCTAAGTGAAAAATTATCAGTAAGCTTTCCCGAGCACAGAAATTACCGTGTATTAGTAAAATCACCGTTAGATTACTGACAAAACAGACGACAAGAACCACGAAGATGCAAAATGCGGTGGTACATGCTGGCAAACACAGGGGAATGTTTCGGCATAACTCTAAATCTCTCGTATTTTGAACCTTTTTAAATCTCTTGAGTGATCTTATAGAGCAGTATGTTAATGTTGAACGAATCACATCAAGGCCTTTACAACCGCACCACGCTAGAGAGTTTGTATGTTCTGAAACTCGTGAACTTGAAGCACACCTATAACGGAAACGAGCGAGCAGGACTTTACCGTGAAATATGCAAACCCATGAAAAGTACGCGATAATTATAAAAATCGTCTCACATTCTGTCTCCTTAGCGATCTCATCGATTTCCTCATCGCGAAGCATTAGCGAGCTGCTGTTGCCCATTGTGGCTATTGTTCTGAAATGAACAGTGATAGTAAATTCATGCGGTGAAAGCGATGACATCGCAAAATCGGAAGAAAGCGTGGAAGAAATGTTAAGATTTAGAGACCTTTTCCCCTGATTAAACTGGATTTAGCACATTATTCACTCTTGATGTAAGGATTTGAGGGGAATTCGATCGGGACGAAGAGGATTAAAAACGAATAACGCATCCTGGCCATAATCACTACGTCACTTGATTGGACAAAGTGTGGACTTATCGGACCCCTGCAAGGCTAATGATATGGCGTGAGAGATACGGCGGCAGCGTCCGTTTCAGTGTGCAAAGTGGAACCTGGTAGTTGCCCCAATGAAAGTCTCCCATAGACCTTGAAATTTGGAAATTGTATTTTGTAGGGACATGGTCACAAAAGTAGAATCCACAACATGTTCAAAGTAACTAAAAGTGTAAAAGCGACTTCACTCTAAACTGTCAGGCATCATTAACTAAGTGATAGGTTAGCCAACTACGGGACGACATGTGAATGACGTTTCTTAGACCTTAAACAATTTATAAACACGTGATCGATGAAAAAACACTGTTAGTCAAGCAAAATCGTAGCGCCAACATGTCATTACCCTGTGACTAGTACAACAAAGCGATGCTTGCAGAGATAACTTTCCGGTTACTCGGTGACACGACGCAACCGTGATCGAGGAATTATTGATGGAGAGTGCAGAGCAAAGTACAGTCTCAACCAAAGGCGATGAATCATACACAGGTCGTCTCGCTGAGTACGGTAAGTAAAACTCAACATTGGAAGCGGGACCAACGGTCTTCAACAAATTTCAAGTTAGTCAGCCAATTATAAGGCGTTGTGAGAGGGAATTAAAGACCAAACAAAACCTTGTGACGCGCGTATGCACCACATGACATGCACCAAAGAACGGCGCGCACAACAAATCCTCATTAAAATTCAAATAGACGCAAAATGAGAATAGTGGAACCCGTGCGAATCTATCGAATAATGTACAGAGACGAGAAAAAATGGGAAAAGATTACAAAAAATAAGCGGAATTTTATTGCTGCATGAGTCGAACCCCTGTGAACATCTGAATACTACAGTTTCAACGGCAGTCTTTTTTCTTATATCTTCGAAAGGGGTTTGGGAGTTCGACGACATCGAGATGGAACGAACTGCGAGGGGCGTGGTGCACTTCTTGATGGAGTAGACGCGCTCGTCCTATGATGCTATTGATCGGCTGTCAGGTGAAATAATCGCAATGTTCACCTACACAGTAACAGCAACAGTCGTACTATAGTATTACTGCTCTCTGATGCGTCTTTCTGACTGTAACAATTGGCGAGGCAACAGGTAAGAAACCAGTATTGACAGCCACCATTACAGTCGCAGTAGCAGTAAGGTTACCTCATAAACTAAAAGCAGAACTAAACTCGTGAGAGCTTGACGACCAGACCCTATTCGTCACAATTCAGCCTATTTTACGAGAAAAATATATTTGCTGTGAGTATCTACAAGAGCATAACAAGGTCGCAGAGAAGAAGACGAACGAAAGATCTGACTTGATTTGTTCATGTTTACACCCTGTTCATCTGCGAAGTGTTTTGTGTACTCTTCCGCAGGGTGTTCTGGCCCATTACACGCGACAACATCAGAAACAACGCGAAGTCCTCCCGTCGGTGCGAGCTGCCAAACGGATCTGGTACCAGGCACTTGGCCGGAGTGATGGAACAGTTGGCATGAGCTTGCGGAAATGGCGCTGCTTAGTAAGCCCCAATTCCATCTCAGAGAGAAATTGACAAATGAGGAGCTAATCTACGATGCGACTTTCTTTCTGTCTTGACATTGGACTCGAAAAAAAAAACTTTCCAACAAAAACTGTTTTTGGTAACAGGGATGGAAGACTGGCTATGTACAAACTGTTCCAGCAATAAACCGCTTACGGAATGGCATCACAATGAGGGAATGCATATCGCCCACGGATGAAGTTCCTGTTAGACTCTACTCCAACCTGAAACCACCAACTCCTATTTCAAACAAAAGGATGCCATCACCATTCAGCGAAAGGAAATGCTTTGAAAGCGAGATTGGCAAGTGGCACTCTTACTATTAGTCATCAGCGTTCGCTGCAAATGCTGACTTGATGAAAAATGATTGCACAAAACTGATTCGAGAGTAAGGCAATGCAGATAAACTCAAACACCGACGAGCAGCGACAGAAAAGACATAATGAATCGCAAAAGCAGCATGATGGTGACGAGAAATGCAAGCCTCTATTGTATTCTTCGTTCAACTCCACATCTCAGAGATAACTGAAACTATTATAGCGCCGATTATTGGGTGCAGCTACCAAATTATGGCAGAAACCAGAATGCTACAAGGAAATGAAACGTACCTTAAGAAACTCTCGAACGACTCGATAGGCATCTTGCTATATGAAAGACAGTAAAGGACGAATGTAGGACGATGTACTGACACAGTTCTATTCCACTGATGTCGCGCTTTATTAATGCATTTCATCTCTAATCAGCTTAGTATGCTTACATTACCAGTCCGCATGACAACTGATCATGCACAAGACTGAAATTCGACAATGAAACATGATCCGATTACACTCATATCTAACGGCATTTTTGCATAGCTCTTTGAAAATGAATAACATATCACAAAAGTGTATCGGTATATGCTGTAGAGTGAACTTGAAACACATTGTGGCGATTCGAGAAACAGGAGAAACTGAGCTCAAAGACGTGAAAACTCACTTTTTTCTGCAGAAAAACATACTAACTAGTTCGGTAGAAGAGTGTTAGATTACCGCGAAAGCAATAGAGGTCACTTTGAGTGATAAGTGATTACTCGTTATTGGAATAGCAACAAAAGATAAAGAAACGAGGGGAGACTCCAGTGGTCCTACTGTTGAATCGACGATTGAGAAGGCCACAAGATTCGAAATAGAAATGATTGCGAAGTCGTGCTACACCGATGTACAGACAGTTGGTAATGACAAGAAAAGCGTGTTCTATCAAATGTCTATTCGCGGAAAGAAAGAAGGCATCTAAGAATCGATCGAAGCACCAGAACCGGAATGCACGGATAATCCTTATGCGAATGATTAATGACCGACTTATCGAAAAGTGATTCATGAAGAGGCATTATCTCACTTTTTGAGTATAACCACCAAACGATTGAATCTAGTAGTGCTTGAGGTTTGAAATTCCAGCTCTTAGCGGATCCATCTAAAGGTGAAAATCGAAGTTATGAGCAACATTTTGGAAAATGTTCAAATACAAAAGGGATAGTCAAAACGGTATTTAGAAAAAACTTGATGAAATGGTTAACAACAGTCAATGCAATGCAAGTGTCCAGCATCACAGGTCAAATGTTTAGTAAAAAAAAAGGATAAAGCATTTGCCGTTGATCAATCCCTTTTTGGGATGCGGCACGCATTCTACTTCCATTTGTACATTCGTAGTGGCGTTTGAATGCGATGTGGCCTATACAATGACTTGCGGGGGCCAGCCGATGTACAAGTCAGTGTTTTTTATCCTCCCAGACAAGTCTGGTACCAATTAACCGACCCCGGAGGGATGGAAGGCTTGGTTGGCCCGGGCGACTCACGACCCAGGATTTGATCCCCGGACCGCTCGCGTGGTAAGCGCGCCACTTGTCACTACACCACTTCCGCCTAAACGATAATCTCTAGGTCAAATGTTTAGGATAAGTAAACTACGCGCACACAAGTTAGGGTGCCAACCACCTGCTTTGTACGCACTGAAAGCCCGTATGAATGAGCTCGGTAGCGACCTCTCTCGCTACGCTTTGAAAAGCCGCATAAACATTGGGAGGTTGATTCTGCAGAGTTGTCGTATATTGGAAATAATGTAAATCCTGACTTTGAACATAGCGCAGTCCACCTCTCTGTGTCGGCAGCAGTGAGAGAGATTGCAGAGTTGCCAGCACTAATATAAGAAGAATCCGGTGCTTAAGGCCCAAGCTCGCGCTTGTCAATTGCTGAATGCTCAGGCCGGCAAGTACGAATCGCGTTTTTCAATGGCCCTCAGCCACACCCCACAATATGAACAGTTGCGAGGTATAGGACCGGTTGTTGCTAGACAACAAAAACCACACTGTTCCGAACTCGTATTAGTACTCGCTACGGTGAGCGCATTACGGCAAACTTACAATTATCGTTCAACTCATGCTTAATTCTTTCTGTCCTGGTTATCATAACCAGACACGTGAACATGCGAACACAGACCCCTGCAAATAGTCAAAACAGACAGACCGATCTTCGTTGCCAGATCTTCTAGCCCATATTCAGTGGATGAACAATATTAAGACGTGAGATCCCAAAAAACGTTTTTATATGTTGGCGCAACAGAGATAACGATAATGACGGTGAGCTTACAGTGAGCGTGTCTGATTCAAGCAAGAAAAGCCACTGAATGGTCCGCACCACGTGTACGGCCTTTGGAGAGAACAGAAGAACCAACCGCTATTGCGTAGGTAGTTCCAGTGCTTTCGCGACTGACACGGAACCCTTAAATAGAAAAACATAAATGGCGACCTACAGCAGGGGGCGGGACGCTGTGGAAAAAATGTCGAATACCTGACACGGGCACTCGGTGTTACTTTTTATGATCACTATGCATTTGCATGCAGATGGCAGAGCGAACCGCCATGGCAAAAGGGTCGAAGGGACGTTCATATTGAAGCAACTAATATAAAACCAGGGTCCGCGAATCGCGCGACAAAACATAAAAATCAAAGCCCTGAGCATTACTGCAAAGTGCTTTTCAATTCAGTCGCCATTTTTGCGTGATGGTGATGGTCGAATGAGACTGTTCACGATTTACTTGTATTTGAGGTTTCTTATGGAACTGTATTTCAGGTTTTTTTTTCTACTGAACCATAAAAAAGGGGTCGTGGTGGGAGAAATTAAAGTGTGAACGTGTTTAGTAGCGGAAAGGAGGTAGCTCTCTTTCAAGCAATATTTTCACGACGAACCCATGTAATGGGTAAAATCCCTACTCCCTTCGCTTGAGGCAGTTTTGACAAAATTTTTGTGCGGAGATGGAGTATATCAGCTGGTCTCAGGATCAAATACTATAGGACCATCTTTGGCCGGGAAGGTGGCAGTAAGGGTAGTGGTGAAGTTGACGTTGAGGGGACCCTCAAAGGCTGGCGGCGGCGTGTCGAGACCCCCTCGGGGGAGCTTCAAAAAAAATTTGAATCAGATCAACGAACGGATGACATTGGCCACAACACGGCTACGACAAAGCATTCTATAGATCAAACCTAAATTCGGAGATGAGATTAAAGAAAGTAGCATCACAACATAGAATGATCTCACCCGAAACAAAGTCACACGAAAAATGGTTCAGAAACAGTAGGGAATAATGGGTATTATGACTGGAATAGTTTTAACTCACTAAGGACGAATACACTGCAGCTATAAATGCGACCACTTCACAAGAATGATCCACCACGTGTGTTCAAGATGGGTGCAATCATAAAAAAGCGGGCACATTTGACCAACTAGTCCATGCACCCATTCTACAGTAACGATGAGATGCCGAAAAGTTTTAGCCAGCTTTACCTAAAACCATCGAATCTACAGATTATAGAGGGCTAGCTGAGTGAAAAAATCTACGAAGAGAGCAACTCTCCAATCCGAAACCAATACACAAATCAGTAGTCTGAAATAAAGCGCACCTACCAAAGCGCCTTCACCACACACAAGAGCCTTCTTTAGAAGAGCATAAAAAAATCCGCATGAGTATTTTTTCGAATTTGTTGGCTTTGATGCGCTATACCTTTTGGAACGTATCACAACTCGCCCTTCACCAGAAAAAAATGAGTTCTGAAAAGTAACTACGTACGATGGCAGAATTTACGGAAATGCTTCCAGTTTTAGGAGCAAGAATGGCAACGCAATTAGAAGGACGAACCGTGGCAAAATTGCAAAGAGAAATTTCAACAAATGATAGTAAATGTGATGGATTTCAAACCGCCGTTAAGATCACTTAGCTTGTTTATTGAAAATTTATTAAGGATGCTCTGATACATCGATTGAAAACAAATAGAATCTCAAAAGCTAACAAAATCAACAAAACTTGGATTTCATAGAGAAACTGCAAGGGAATCCTATAACAATCAGAATGTACAGGGTGATGAAGAGTAGCCACTTTGAAACCAAAGAAAGAACCATAGAGCGCATTAACTCGTTAGATGAAAATAAAATACCCCAAATCGATCAAGCACTAGCAAAACAAAAAAACCAACTACATCACCATCGAGATTGATCACAGAGAGAAAGAAATCGAGATAAAGTGAAAGAAGAAATCATTTTTAACAGAATTCAAAAGATCTAAGGCCCGTTCATACACCGCGCGGTTTTGACGAAAAAGCGTTATAGCGCTGATGATGGCAAATTAGCGACAAAGCGACCGAAAGTGCGCACGCACCGCAACGCATGAGAAGGCGACCAATTATGGCGGGTTTATTTTGTCAATCATTCAATAAAAATCATTCAATATGTATCCAATCTTAACTGGATAATCGCCAAACGATGTACTCGCCAAATCGTCGATCGCATAATCGCATAATCGCATCTGCGCTCGTTGAACGGAGCCACCTCAATCGATTCGCATCTGTCCCTTTCAGCATTACAGCTAAATCGCTATATCGTTTCATCGCATAATCGCTTTGTCGTCTACTCGTGGCATCGATGAGCGCTTATTGGGCGGAGCCTTTTTAGTCGATACGCACCCACAACGTTCAGCATTATCGCGAAATCGCCAAACCGCATAATCGCATTGCCGCTTTTTTTCCAGATCGATACCTATGCTTTACTTTCAGCATTAGAGCCAAATCGCATTAACCGCGGTGTATGAACGGGGCCTAAGCGAATGAAACATTTTGTTCTATGGATGCACATCGGAATAGATCAGAACCGGTCAACATATGTAATAAATTGGCAGTTGATAGGTTATACCTGAACATACTTATATGCTAGTTGGCGCTTTATCACGATTTGGGTTGTATTGATGCAAATTCGTATCAGGTCCATTATCATCCGAATCACCATCGGAAATATCGCCTTCACCACCATCGGTGGACTCTTCTCCACTGCTTTCATATTCATCGCTGTCACTGAAATCATTGAATGAAGGTCTCTCAGATAATGCAGTGAACGATGGAAATGAAAGGGTAGAACCCTGCAGAGCCATTTTGTGAACACCAGAAAAAAACCAAAAATCGAACATACGTTGGTGGTAACATGTCGTCGTCAATCATGGTGTTTTCTCCTGTTCCTCCTCGTTTGGCATCTCTTGTCATCATTCGAGCCTGTTCTTCAAACCGAGTAGGCCATCTGTAGTTAGAAGAGATGGATTGAATTGATACACGAAAAAAGTTTTTGGACTTCGTTTGAGGGCGCTTTCGCTATATGTACTGCAAAACGACTATGTGCACGACATGTGTAGCGAAAGCGCCGTCAAACGATGTCTAAAAACCTGGATTTTCTATTTTGTGAAAACAAATCGATGAGGTAAGGCTATTTTAATTTAAAACCAAATCATATCACATCAAGGAATACCAAAAAGTTCAGCAAGAACGACTTCGTCATTCCTGCTGTACTTCCGGCAGGTGCACCTAATGGGAGACAGCGTTACCATAAGCACAGATATATCCAGACAATAAAACAACTTGTTTATGGATCTTATGTACAGAATGTTCTCTTCATCCAATACGTGTTCGATTTCGGCTTTCACCTAAAATCAACATTCGCAAATGCTATGTTTATTCAGAAAAACACAGGCTCACCTTGTCACCTTCTTCAATAGGCCGCAAGACAACGAACTGCCCCCTTCGGATCCATATCGCTTTTCTGAATTTGGATGGCATGCTTGCAACGTATGTTTCACCGTTTTCATCTTCAACCTAGAAATGCATGAAATTTGCATCAAATACAAAACAGAGGTTGGTTTCAGAGCATGAGAGCCAGTTCGTTCGGCCGATAACCTTGAATAAAATTGGCACCAAAAACGTGAGCATCTGCGAGGGTCACAAAATCGCCTTCATGCTTGCACCGAGCGCGGTTACGAGGCTTCTGTCAACCAAAGGGTGGGAATTTGGATGGGAAAGCAAACTATTTGTGCAGTTCTGAGACCAAGTCGTTGAAAGTAATAAAGTGCACGTGTGAGAGCGCCCAGACACCACTACAAAACGCTGAATCGCCTAGCCTCCCCGTTGACAGAAATCCTGAGATACACTGAAGCACGTTTCGCAAGAATCACAAATTCTAGTGCGGTGCAAGCGCACACTTAATAGTGGCCAAATCAGCGCTGGCGGTGCCAAAGGTGAGATTGATGGATTGGAATATATAATAAAAAGTAATAGCCTCTAATATGTATTCCGCCGAAGTCTACATAACCAAAGCAATTCACTACACACACCTTTAGATTACTTTGAAAACCTTTCATCAAGCCATACTTTACCAGCTACTGCCAGTTGACCCACGATCTAAGTCACAGTAAATGGTTCATGTGAACAAAAGCTAATCGATCGTAAGGCCAGCATAGCCTGCGTTATTGGTTTAGTTCCCAATCCATTCACTCCTTCCACTTCCATCTAAACTCAGTAAAAGCTCACAACCAGCGGAATCGACTCAGCACGCTCAGCCCTGATTGTAGGCCTGCGATGCGATTGGCCGATGTCAGACTTTGCGATTGGAGCGATTTTGCACCAATTGCAGGAGCGACGGATCGCTTGAGCGATGCGAGCGACGGGAGATTTACACCGCCGACCACCGATAATTCGGCGCCATCGGTTCGTAAATCTCCCGTCGCTCGCATCGCTTGAGCGATCCGTCGCTCCTGCAATTGGTGCAAAATCGCTCCAATCGCAAAGTCTGACATCGGCCAGTGTGGTGCGTACTCATAGGTAGGAAAAGTCCTCTGCCCGGTCAATCCGGTATACTTTCGGTTTTAGCGCCTCAGCGATTGTAACACGACCAATCTCTACGTGACTTTATGGCCTTCTGCTAGTATTCTCAAGTTTCTATTTTGCAATAATTCATATTGACCCAAGAGAAACGGAATCAATCAGTGTATTTACGTGTCGCTAGCTATGGCTATCTTGAAGACTGACAGCAGCCACGGAGTATATGTTACATGTACTGCAAGGGGCGTTGTTGTCAAAAAAATTGAGGATGGAGTATTAGGGCATGATAAGGGGTTCTGGGATGCGCCATGCACTTGACTTCCTTTAAGATTCGCAAAGGCATTTGGTTGCGGTTGGCCTGCAAAATGACTTGTAGAAGGCAGCTTTCAGAGTTTTTTCTACACATTCAAGTCTGATATAAACTTAGCAATCCGGATGGGATAAAAGGCTTGATGGGGGTAGACCTAATCTCAATTGGGATTTTACCTGTGAATCGTGCGTGTCATAGGTGAAAACGCTTGCACTACACTACGCCTCCATTGTAAGACATAGCGTGATTCATGGGGGGTGTGTTTGTCCAGCCAATTCGTTCCCGAGCCTTTTAGCTGTAGTGAATGTTATCACTAGGATGCTGAGTTTTGGGCAAAATATTATAATTCGTCCTAGTTGGGTGTTGAACCCACACCTCTTGCTTAGGAAGTAGTTAGAAAATCTTCCCTATTGGGGCTGCAGTTTTTCATTCTGCTTTTATATCCCTTCCTTTAATCGAATATCCTGTCTTTATTTGTGAATTTGATGTAAGTGTCACCATTTCCACGCACACGGTGTGAGACTCGAATCCCGGATCGAATTTTGCTTGAGTCAGCCAAGCCTCTCATCTTACTCGTTAAAAAGCTTCTGATTTTGTGCGGAATTTTGGTAAAAAGGCGCTACTTAACTTTAAGCTAAATTTCTATCGAAGTGGCCATACTTCACTCACCGCATGGCTTTTTGAGCTTTCATCCTTCCTCCACCAATTGTCCGTAATCGTCAACCAATTGTCCGTTTTTCCCGGCCTCGGACTGCCTCCGGACCGATTTATGAACCTTCGTGGTGAACTCCGCCTATTTCTTTGCATGTCCCACCTATCTTTTTCTTCCTCCGCCGCCTCTTCCCATTTTTACCCGATCTGAACTATCTCTGAGCTGATTTATAATTTTGGCGGCGAATCCTGCTTTTTTGGTGTATCCTCCGCACACCATTAAAAATTCACTTCATTTCCTTCGCACACTTCTCTCCCGATCTCCAGCACTCCTGCAGCTGAGTCACAAAGTTTTGTGGAGAACTCGATCACTTACTTACCATTGGAAATGCTCCGCCCATACAGATAGTTGGGCTGTTACTCTTCACCAGCTCGATCATCCCTTTCCCGGTCCGAGAATCTGGAACGAGTGTTAGATTTCCGTCGCAAACTCCGCCACTTTGTGTGTAGCTTCCAAATAATGCAAAGGTTATTTTGGGAATGTCCGTCGTTCAACCCGCCACTTTTGTCATGCGCGCCACCGATGCAGTTTGGCCCCACCTTGCGAGTCGACTACCTCTATCCACATTTCTTGCTGCTAAACTTTCTTCGGCCCGAATTTATGAGAACTTGTAGAAAACGCGTACGCTGCTAGGACTTTTCGGCCGAATTTGAGTTACTTGTAGAAAACGCTTTTACGCTTCGAGCGCGCCCGCAGTGTGGCTTGCGAAACCCCGCAACGTCGTATGGTATGCTTAGGGCACTTAGACTTTGCTCTCCTGCACCAATTTCTTTTCTGCCCTGTAGGCTTTCTCCCAACGAGTTATTAAATTTTTTATAAAGCACTGTTTAGGAGAGCGCCCGCCACCGGGGTGAGTCTCCGGTAATCGATTGTGGGCTTTACCAACATGGACACTTTTACTCCGAAACTTACTGGCACAGTTTGCGCGTTGTTTAATAGTCCCTGAATATTGAAAGTCATGGTCGTTCGGGTGCAGTTTATTTCGACGCACGCCACGCCCTCTGTGGGAGGGATACCTCGCCCGCTGAGCTGGCTGCGCAGCGCTGTGTTTTGTATTTCGTGAGACCTTGCCCACCCATCCCACACTTGACCCGGTCCCTCCAGGCGGATCCCGAGGAGCTAGGGAATTTCGTGACAGACATACAGAACGACAGAACGACAGACGAAGCGCTTTATAGTAAGTAGGTAGTAAGTAGTTCATTCATTCATGGAGTGCTTACTGCGAGTCATGGTTTGAATCAAATCGCATTAATGTCTCAGAACAGCTCTGAGTGAAAGTAGAATGCATGCCTTACCAGAATAAGAATATATCTTCTACCTGCACGTTGGGGGGGGGGGTTAGGGAGGAGGCATTTAAGTGCTCATTGGCATTGGATGGACCGAAATGCGTTGGTAAGCACTCTGTTAAAAAGTTAGAGGATACTGATAGAGAGTACCGAGAGAATGGGCGTTCATAGCTATTGATTTGGAAGTAAACACAAAAAAGGGAAGTACGTCTGACTCTCGTGCGTGGGATTATGCAGTAGCCCCAAAATCGGCATTGGCTTCATCTCTGCGTTTTCTAGTAATGTTCCGACGCGCAAGGATGCGATCTCCGTCCTTAGCAATTCAAAGGTCCTATAACTTTAAAAATGATCAAGAAATTGCCGGCCGCAAATGCTCAAGGTGAACCACATCTGCGATGCGCCATGCATTTGGATTATGTTTTGAACTGTATGGAAATTTGTCTTCATGTCCTACTTTTGCAACGATTGCGGGAGTAGAACATGCAGACAAAGGCACATCCCGCGATGAAATAATTGTGAGTAAAGGGCGGGTTCTGATGAAAAGGCACTCAACGAAGAAAAAAACATGAGAACCGGCCCAGAACCCGTGGGGGCATACTCTTAGCTACGGAACGCGCATCGTCCCCCACCCTGAAGGGGCCCGCCTTCCTTTCGACTTGGTACATTTCCCCTTTGTCGACCTTGGGTCAAATCTTTCGCTGCCAAATTGCGCGTTTGTCAGCACCCTCAGGAGGTCCACCTGTCCCCCAGCTATGCAATGTTCCCTTTCTTTGACCTTCTTTCTTATCGTGAAATTCTCCTTCATTGCGCTCGGAAACGAACTTGTGGTAACTCGCACGCGGGTAGTGAAAAGAAAAAAACCGGTTGAAACATTTGTTAGACTCTGCTTTCAGGGTGTGGCAAAATGCGATGAAAATTCACGGCGAGTCTCGCGAGCGATTCGCAAACCGCACCTGTGTAGCTCGGGGTTGTTTTTAAGGTTTTTAATCCTCTTTACCTTTCCTCCATTACGGTTGGATCAATCACCGCAACTATTTTATCTTCAAACGCAATGACTTATCCCTATCCAATCATTCGAAATTAGTATTTGCCGAAGCTAACCCGAATAAATTTTTTACTATAATTG